AATGTTGACTTCATTTTAATTTGTAATGAATTGAAGACAGAAAAAATTATTTTACCGTAATATACACATCTGTAACAGCAAGTGATCATCAAATTGTAAGTCATGTTGTTGGTAATAGAAAGGTAAAAATTATGGAGAAATTGTTCTTCAAATGATTGGCGTGTTCTGCTTCAATGTTTGGCATGTTCTGTTTAGTTTTTCAAGTTCTTCAGCTTTTCCTTAGGGAAATTTTGATTTTTATTTGCTGCTAAGAAAATGGCGTCCGTCATGGCCAAGGATTTTGATGGAACTAAATGAAAACGTGATAAATTAATGTCTGATATTTACAGGCTCCCGCTAGATGGCGTACTCGAGCGTTGCGAACGCGAATAGCGCTAATTTTAAGAAAGAACTATCAATCCTGAGAATTGATTGTAATATTTTATATGAATCGATAAGAATAAAAAGAAATAACTTGTTTTACCTAATTCAATGCAAATTATTTTTTCGAATTTGTTTCTACGGATAGCTAACTAGATTGAATGAATAGATTCGGATCTGCCGATACGATAGATTTAAAAAAAAAAAATTCCTTCGTCATAAAAATAAGTTTACTCTTTTTTTTAAAAAAAAGAGAAAAGAAGCAGAGTATTAAAAATAGCAAATACTTTTAAAAATTGGAAATTTAAAAAATAAAATTGAATTAATTAAACCATTTATGATGAAAAGTTATTCTCCATTAAATTTTATAAAATAAATAAATAAATACACAAATAAATATATTATTGTTGTTGTTGTTAATTTACGTCGCACTAGAGCAGCACAATGGGCTATTGGAGACGGTCTGGGAAACATCCCGGAGGATGATCCGAAGACATGCCATCACAATTTTGATCCTCTGCGGAGGGGATGACACCCCCGCTTCGGTAGCCCGACGACCTGCTCGCGAAGTCGAACACTTTACGGTAGCACTTTTCGGTAGTTTTATTTATTAATTGCAATCAAACTTAACGAGGACCAATACCGCACACCCTCGCTCCCTACGCAGACTGATCCAAGTGGTCTTGACTTTGGTGATCTGCTGGGAACCGTGTCTTAACGATCAGTCCATTGCGGGACAATAAATATATAAATAAAAATATAAAGTAACTACCATATCTTTTCGTCAAACAGTTAACGTAACTAAAGCTACTTAAAACCTTTGTTGAAATATTTAAATATTTCAACAACAATTGTAATTATGCTTTTCTCGAAGTTATTTTAAGTATTACCATTGGGTATTGGGGTTGTTTTGTTAGATTGGGGTCATTATTTTATTTTATTTATATTTATTTTAAGTAAATTATGTTTAATTTTATTAAGTTTAAATAGAAATACCTAACAGTTATTGATGCAATGTTAAAATACATCACAAGTACCAAATAACATAGCTATATAAAATGTTTGATTTAGAAATATTTTATATTCTTTTTTAATAAAAATGTAAATAAATTTATTTTTCTAATATATAAGTAAGGAAATTTGCAATAAATATTATAAATATAAAAAAAGTGTTAATACTTGAATTATAAGATTAAAATATGCTTTAAAAGATACTGCAAATTAAATGTTTCCGTATGACCTCTGGAAATCGAATCCAAGATCTCTAGGTTAGTAGTCTTGATTTCAATTAACTTTAAAATTCTTTTACCTTCTGAAAAAATTAACTTTTATTTAGCATTTTTGTAAAGCATTTATGCACGCTATTCGTTATGCACACTTTAGATTCAACTAAAATTTTATTTACTTATTTTTCAAATG